AAGGATTATAAATCATTCTATTATAAAGATACATGCACACATATGTTCATAGCAGCACTGTTTACAATAGTGAAGACCTGGAACCAACCCAAATGCCCATCAATGATAGACTGGACAGGGAAAATTTGGCACATATACACCATGGAATACTATGCAGCCGTTAAAAATGATAAATTCGTGTCCTTTGTAGGGACATGGATGAATCTGGAAACCATAATTCTCATCAAACTGACACAAGAACAGAAAACCAAACACTACATGTTCTCACTCATAGGCGGGTGTTGAACAATGAGAACTCATGGGCACCAGGAGGGGAGCATCACACACTGGGGTCTGTTGCGGTGGAATAGAGGAGGGACAGCGTGGGGGTAGGGAGGTTGGGGAGGGATAAGGAGGAGAAATGACAGATATACGTGATGGGGGGATGGAGACAGCAAACTGCATTGCCATGTATGTACCTATGCAACAATCCTGCATGTTTTGCACATGTACCCCAGAACCTAAAGTGCAATAAAAAATATATAAATATAAATAAATAAATAAATAAATCATAGTGGTTAAGAATACACACAGCATGTGCTGTGTATATCAAGTGAAGATAAACTTTATAGGTCAGTGGACTATTGTGATCTCTAAGGATGCCTGCTCTTTGTCAGTTCTGTGCAGTACTTGTTGGGGAGGGTGGGGTATCTCACAATTAGCTTCTGGAGTTCAACTACAGGTGTTCTAAGAAAGGGTTAGTTGGCCGGGTGTGGTGGCTCACACCTGTAATCTTGGCACTTTGGGAGGCCGAGGCAAGGGGATCACGAAGTCAGAAGTTTGAGACCAGCCTGGCCAATATGGTGAAACCCCATCTCTACTAAACATACAAAAATTCCCTGGGCATGGCACACGCCTGTAATGCCAGCTACTCAGGAGGCTGATGCAGGAGAATTGCTTGAATCCAGGAGGTGGAGGTTGTGGTGAGCTGAGATGGTGCCACTGCACTCTAGCCTGGGTGACAGAGTGAGACCCTGCTTAAAAAAAAAAAAGAAAGGATTAGTTTGTGCATCAGTCCTAGACCTTGACACATTCATGTGAGTTAGTTTTATAGCTTTCTGTCCTCGATGCTTCTTTCTCAACTATTAGTCCAGGCAGGCATGCGCTAAAATTACCTTTCTAAATGTTATCAAGCAAAGATTTGCTGGTTATATTTTGCCCAACAAAAAATGTCTAGGAGTGGGTCTAAAACTGCTGCTGGCTGATGTTCTGTTCTTAGGAAATGGAAAGCTAGGAATAGAAGGATCTGTGTTAGTAGTTCTCAAACTTCAGTGTGCAAAAGAATCACCCAGAGAGCTAGGTTAAGGGGCAGATTAATGGACCCCAGATTCTTCTGGTGTAGTCAGTCTGAACTGAGATTTAATAAAACAAGCATGGCATGATAATAATGCAGGTGGTCTACAGTCTAACTCTGAGACACACTGTATTGTTATATCCTGTCCTCTGTCATTTGCTGAGATGCTCCTTTACCTCTTTTGACTGAAAATCACAGCCACTCTTCTGGTTACATAGAACAACTTACTGTGACAAAGAAAAGGATGAACTTTATCTTCTAGGCTTTGAAAATGGTAAATGCACAGTCTTTTGTGTGTGCCTTCAAGACACTTGAAAGTCACTTTGTGGCAACTACACAGAGACAGAACAAACTTAGGGATGCCTCTCCCCGTTTCATCTCACAACGCCTCTCTCGGGACTCTTTGTCTCACCCAGGCACCTCAAGGTTTTGGTGAAATAAAGCAGCTCTTTTTTCTCAAAAACATTGTTAACCCTAGTCCAAAGGTTTAAAAGCTAGGATATCTGGGGTTTTTTTTGTTTTTGTTTTGTTTTGTTTTGTTTTTTTCTTAATACCGACCTGGTTAGCTAAGCTTTCTAAAATCTCTTCCTTCATCTTTGTGAACTCAAATAGCTCATGCACAAAAGCCTGTGGATTTCCTTCGACGAGAACTGAAATATTGTTCCCTTTATGCTAATGTTAATTTTCAGGCAGTGAGCTTGGTTAACTAGGAGAAAATAAAAACTTTAGATGGAGAGCATTATTTATAGTGAATTCAAAACTTCATTATTATCAATTCTTTTTACAAAATACACAGAAAAAGTATCTTTTTGTTATTTAAATATGGCATGGCTACATTGAGAAATAGTACAGATGTTATTCCACAGCCTCTCAGCTGCATCCTGAGTAATCATTATTATGTTTTATTCTTATTTGGAATTACTAGTAATAGAGTCTATATTTCTGTATGAAATTCAAATCAGGGAACACCAATGAATTGAGATGATTGATATTATATACACACACACATAATTTTGGAATTGGGAAAACAATGGAAATATTTCTCTCTTAGAGAAAAACCACCAAACTTGCTTCTATGCGAGTGATCTTCATGAATAACATTTTTTATTTACCTCGATGTGCCCAAAATTCACTTAATTCTTTACCATTGAAATGAGCTAAGATTTGATCAATACCTAAATTTGTTTTGAAAATATCTGTGTAATTATTAAAAATCTGAAATTAAACTGTCTGGATTTTGAAATATCCAACTTGAAACACAAGTATTTTTTTAAAAAGTACTTGTCTGTATACTTTTTTTAATGATTTTATTTTGTGTGCTTTTATAAATCTTTTTTTTTTTTTTTTTTTTTTTTTTTAACTTCTTATTGATGTGGTGGTATTTTGTGCATGGAATAAGGAGAGACAGTAGTAGTGGTAATATATTTCATGACATCTTTGAATGGAAATTATATGTGTAAGTACATGCATGTTTATGGGAAAATATTCCTGGCTGTTTTCTTTTTCTTTGTTATTGCTTTATTTTGTTTTCGTTAGAGATAGTGTCTTGCTCTGTCATCCAGGCTGGAGTGTGGTGGCAATGATCATGACTAACTGCAGCCTTGATTTCCCAGGCTCAAGCTATCCTCCCACCTCAGCCTCCTGAGTAGCTGGGACTATAGGCACCCAACCAAGCCTGGCTAATTTTTTAAATTTTTGGTAGACATGGGGTTTCCCTGTGTTGCCCAGGTTTGTCTTGAACCCCTGGGTTCAAGCAGTCCTCCATGCCTCAGCCTCTCAGAGTGCTGGGATTAGAGGCATGAGCCACTGTGCCCAGCTTGTTTTCCCATTTTAATCTCATATAGAATCACTGGCCTAGTCCAATCTTACTGATTTTTAGATGACACATTTGAGACATACAAAGACTAGGTGATTTTCCAGAGGTCCTGGAGTTAGTATTTGACCCAAGGCATTAAAACTCAGTCCGTGGTCTTTCTGAATCCTCATCCTTCTCTTTCTTGCAACGAGAGCATGGGCTGTCTTCATTCCCCTATAATAAGACAGAATTCTGTTTGGTCATTTTGTCTTCTTAGTTTTCTTGTATTTCGACCTTAGCATGAAGATTTTTTTTTTCTTTATGTCTGAGTTAAATGCCTTAGAAATTATTTTGCCAGGCTTCACCTAGATCCCCAAACTAGCTTTATTCTTTTTTCTCTGTAATGATGCACCTGAATGAATTCAGTCTCATCCTGTCACCTGTCAACAAAAATCTGGTTATCAAGGTTTTCCAGGATAGCAGTTGCAATTTTTGCCCTTCAGAATAATCACATATAAGTTGATGTGGACTGTCAGCTGCTGAGTGATATTTAATGTAACTTTACATCATAGCCTCTGGTGATTCTACCTCACAACTCATCAAGCGGTACCTAAGTAAGCTAATTGAATACATTAAAAATTGAAAAAAATACTTTTAAATAAAACAAATTCTTATTGATTACCCTGTGTGTATATACACCACTGTACTTGGTACCACAAGAGATACAAAAAATAGGTATAATACAGCAAGCTGTCAAAGAGCTTATAATCCAGACAAGGGAAAAGAAAGTGTACTTTCTATCAAATGCACTTAGTAGAAAAAGATAAATGTCTTGGGAAATATAATTTTTAAATTAAGTGGTTAAAGGAAAAAGGTGAGGGTCTAGAAGAGTCTTCTAGGAAAAAGAATTTGAACTTGACTTTGAAAAATGAAAATCACTTTCATGGGCATAAGTGGTGAGGTGCATTTTGAACAATATGGTATTACACTGTAGTCTAGAAGCATATGTACTCTACACTGCCACTTAAGATATGGTTTGTGGATCATTCTTGTCTTTGAACTTTGCTACTGCTCCATGGCAAAGTAAGTCTCATGCATCCAGTTTCTCTTGTTGAGAGAAAGCACTTAGAAATGCATGGCTGTTTGACATGGCTTCACCATCCAAGCACATAATCAGTGGACTCAAATCACTGCACCTGTTATAGACCAGTTTGGGTGTTGCTGAGTCATGTGTGGTACCAGCTATGTGATATTTATGCAAGGTAGACCATATATGGCTTCATGAGACACTGGGAAAACAAAGAACCTAGTTCTTCACTGCAGATAATTTGAAAATAAAGACTGTAGGTTTTTCTCTATTTGCCTACATAGTCATTTTAAGAAACTGTGGTGTACGTTACACCACAGAGCTATTACTCATTATTGACTTATTTACCGTAACATCTTTGCTTCTTTCTCATTATGTCATCTCATTACAGCACAGAAAAAAATGTTAGCTTTATGACACTAGACAGCCATCCACAATGCAGCAGCACAAAAGGGATACAGGACACACAAAGTAAAGGGGCAGACTAAAGACAGGCAGAACAATACATAGAGGAGAGAAAGGGAGACATCCAGCAGCCTGTACCTGGAAGTCATTTGTAAAATATGTGACCAATGTGAAATAAGAGAGCACATATTTTCACTTCATTCTAATCCATAGATTAACTTTGAATGGGATTTTTTTTTCCAGAAGCTGACACAGAGCCTGTTATGCCTCACTATTTTTTGTTAATTTATTTCTATTATTTTCTTTATGTTGTTGTTTCCTGTTGTTGTTCCTATTTGGAAGGTATTCTTCATTTCGCACGGTTTCTCTTCTTGTTTCAGATGATTCCACACTGCATGGCCCGATTTTTATTCAAGAACCAAGTCCTGTAATGTTCCCTTTGGATTCTGAGGAGAAAAAAGTGAAGCTCAATTGTGAAGTTAAAGGAAATCCAAAACCTCATATCAGGTTTGTTGATTTAAAAGCATGTGTTTCCATGCATATAGTTTCTGTTATTAAAATCAACAAATACTTATACAGTGCTGGCTACATAAAGAACATTAATTAATTAATTAATTAATTAATCTTTATTTATTTATTTAGAGATGAAGTCTTGCTCTTTCAGTTGCCCAGCCAGCAGTGTAGTGTGCAACCTCTGCTAACTGCAACCTCTACCTCCCAGGTTCAAGTGATTCTCTTGCCTCAGCCTCCTGAGTAGCTGGGATTACAGGCATGGGCCACCATGTGCAGCCATGTTCTATGGCAAAATTCCTTCTCTACTAAAAATACAAAAATTAACTGCACATGGTGGTGCATGCCCGTAATCCCAGCTACTGTTCACCAGGCTGGTCTCGAACTCCTGACCTCAAGAGATTTACTCGCCTCGCTCTGCCAAAGTGTTGGGATTATAAGCACGAGCCACTGCGCCGGGCTGTATTTTTATTTTTTGAGACAGGGTCTCCTCTGTCACCCAGGTTGGAGTGCAGTGGCTCAATCTCAGCTCACTACAACCTCTGCCTCCTGAGTTCAAAGGATTCTTGCACCTTAGCCTCCAGAGTATGTGAGATTATAGGCACATGCCAGCTAATTTTGATATTTTCAGTAGAGACGGGGTTTCACCATGTTGGCCAAACTGATCTTGAATTCCTGACCTCAAGTGATTTGCCTGTCCTGGCCTCCCAAAGTGCTGAGATTATAGGCATGAGCTACCATGCCCAGCCCATAAAGAGCTTTTAGACAGGCATTAGAGAATATTCTGAAAGTCTAAGGAGATGATTGTTTCATGAAAAGTTAAGTATCCAACCTCTGTTTTTTGTATTACTGGGAATTAAATATCCTGATTGACTTCCTTGTTGAAAACATTAACAATTCATTACCACTTATATTTAACTAAAAAACCACATTTTAAACTATATTAGTATACTGGCAGCAAAGTGAGAAATGTCAGAAGTCCAAAAGTAAGTGGCTTTCGAACCCAAGAAGTAAGCTGAATATTAAAGGCAATTTTCATGTTAATAAACTTCAAATATGAATTGAGCTTTGGTTTCCGTGGCCTCAAAAGAACAAAGATCACAAGACAAAGCCTAGACAACCCACAGGAGAATCCAACATGAGAACATCTCCCAGAATAAATCTGGGATAAGAGGGCTACATCTTTAGAGTAAATGTGAACAAGAAATAAGCTTGACTTCCAAAGAGACTGTAAAGCACAGGTAATTTTGTATTTCAAACATTAAACCCTAGTGGTTCGAGTAGCAGATGAGATATAACTGGAAAGAGAGTTTGGAAGCTGCAAGATAGGTCTGAAGAAATCCTCCAGAGGCAGCAGAAAGAGACAAGGGGAAGAAGAACACTTTAAAAAGAAAGAGAAAAAATATCTAATCAGGATTCCAGAAGAAACAACAAGAAAGACTGAGGCACAAGCATTATGTAAAGAGCAAGCTAAGAATGTTCCAAACTAATTAAAACTTTCAAACTATAGCTCCAGGAAGCCCAATGCACTTCAAGCAGTATAAATAAAAATGAAGTCACGTCTAGAATAGTGAAATAGTAGAACACCAAGTCAAACAGATGATCATAAAAGTAGCCAAAGTTGTAATACAGATAACATTCGAAGAGATCTGGCAGCTCACTTCTCAATAGCAACAAAACAGCAGGAGACAGAAGAAAGAATCTTCAGTATACTGAGAGAAACTGTCAAATTTATAGATATAGCCTAAATACTTTTTTAAAAGGAAAACAAAATACATTCATTTTTAGGCAGACAGCAACCAAAGTCTGACTCCAGCAGACCTTCAAGTATGTCTCAAGTACTAAGAGACGTACTTGAGGCAGCATAAAAAAATGATTCCAGATAGAAGAGGTGAGCTACAAGAGTAAATGATAAGTAAAGCAAATGGTAAATGTTAGTAATTCCACAAAAAAATTTATTGCACAGAACAATAAAAAGAATACTATCTTGTGAAGATAAAAAAAGAAAAGTTAAAATTCATGACATTAGAATCAAATTTTTAAAAGATGTACTAGACAATGGATTGTCTATATGTTTAAATAAACAAAATTTGACCCCAACTGCACAGCATATATAAAAATCAATTCCAAGTGTATAAAAGACCTAACTGGGAAATTTGCAATACTTTTAGAAGCAAATAGGTATACATATTTATGACTTTGGAGAAGGAAGATATTTCCTAAATATGACAGAAAAAGTACAACTTATAAAAGAAAATACTGTATTAATATTTAAAACTTATGTTCAGTAGAATATACTGAAATAAGCAAAATTACAAACTTTAAACTTGAAGAAGATTTTTAAATATACTTGTTATTGAGGAGGGATTAATACCCAGACCATTTAAAGAATTTTCACAAACTGAATGTAGAAAACAACCCAGCTGAAACATTAGCGAAACACTTCAACAAGTACTTCTAAGAAAATGAAAACCAAAAATTCAGTAAAAATAAAAAGATTGTCAATATCATGAGTGAACAGAAATATATAATTAAAACTGCAACAACATACTCTTTCAAAACTACCAGATTCACAAATTTAAAAGACTGACAGTTTGTTGATGAAGATGTAGAGCAAAAAGAACCCTTGATTGAACACTGCTGGTAGCAATGTCAATTGGTAAAATAGACTGTAAAAAAACAAAACTAACAACAACAACAAAAAAAAAAAAACAAGCACTCCTTAGTAAAGCTAAAGATGCATATACTCTATGATCCAGTGTACATAATGATGTTCATAGCATATTCACAAATACACATAACCTGGTATGTTCATACAAGGTAACCTCATGCAGTAGTAAAAATGAAGGAGTGACAGCTGCAACAACATGGGTGAAACTCAACAACATAATTTGGAGTAAACCAGTTCACAGCCATATACATAATGTATAATTTCATAATTATAAAGTTTGAAAGTGGTTGAGATGGAGTGATTGTTCAAGATATAGAGGAAGCAAAGCTTTACCTCTCCTCTCTTAGGATTTTTCAGCTGATCCTGAGAATTAAATTTACATAGAGCAGATCGAAAGGATAAAACCATACTAATTTATTTAATACAAGTTTTACGTGGCAAGGAATCCATCATAAGAAAATGAAAACCCAGAAACGCAGTTCTCACTGCACATTTATATAGTGAATTGGACAAAGAGTAATAAATTGTGAAAAAGTAACTAAGTTATGTGGGGAGCTAGAAGAAAATATCTGAACAAGGTCTAGACAAAGTTTCCTCTATCTCAACTTCCTGTCCTTGATGATAAGAATGTTACTTTCCTTCTAAAATAGAAAGGGCGTCTCTGGCATGGGGATTTCATTTCTTGCCTTTTAGAAAAAGAATGAAGGTGAAAGTGGCAGTCTTGTACCTGCTGTTTTCCAAGTGCCTTTAGTCAATATAGTCTGAGCACAGTGGCTCACACCTGTAATCCCAACACTTTGGGAGGCCGAGGGAGGAGAATGGCTTGAGGCCAGGAGTTAGAGATCAATCTGGGCAACATAGTGAGACCCCCCATCTCTACAAAAATAATTTAAAAATTAGTCGGGCATGATGGTGCACACCTGTAGTCATAGCTACTTAGGAGGCTGAAGGGGGAAGATCGCTTGAGTCCAGGAGTTCTAGGCTGCAGTGGGCTGTGATTGCACTACGTTCTATCTTGGGTGACAGACCACAAGATCCAGTCTCTAAAAAAATAAATAAATAAAAGTCAATATGCCAGAGCAGCATATTTTGGGGTGTTATACTCTGAAAGCTTTCAAAGGATAATAACATACATGATAAAATTACAAAGAATATCACAGGAATGAAAAGCCAAAATTAAAGATTATAATTAACCATTAAGAGGGGGTGGTTATAATCAAAGTAGATACAGCAGACTTCTAAAGTGATAATATCCCTTTTAAACACAGATTTTCATTGCCTTGTGATTTTTTATAACTTACATATATCTCATAAATATTATGCCTCTATTTAAATTTGATAATTGAAAACTTGAGGCTAACAACCAATAGCTAATGTTATGTGTAAAAACCAAAGAAATATATATGTTATAGTTTAGGAGAGATTGCAGTCATCAAGTAGGGAGAAATGGGATTTGAACTGAGATCAGTAATTTTCAAATAGGCAGAGGGTAAAGAACATTCAGTGCAAGTTAAAGGATGGCAATATTCGTACAGTGGATATTATTTTAGAATTTACTTTATGTGCTCACTTTCCCATTCATTCATTTATCAAATATATTCATTATTCATCATTCATACCTCACCAGTGTTTTTCAAACTGAATTCCAGGGCACATGGGATTGGCTTAAAGATTACCAGAGATAGAAAAATAACAGAAATTCCATCCAAGATTCAACCTTCGTAGCTCTTCTTTGAACTAGGTCATATATTAGGATTCCGAAGAATATGTCATCTAGACAAAGTATTTAAACTTCTATATTAAGCAGCTGCAATGCACCAGGCACCATGCTAGGTCTGAGTATTCAAAGGTTAATCAACTCTACAACATGTTCTACTAGTACTGTTAATTTGAGGACTGCCTAGATGTGGATGTAGTTGGAGCACTATGATGTAAATGCAAGTAAAAAATGACCAAGTTCTAGGGTGCCCTGGAGGAAAGAAAGTCTAACTTAGAATGGGGAGGGTAAATGTCACTGAAGCCTTCATAGAAAAGGAGGTATTTTCATCTATTTGGAGGGCGAATGGTTTCTCATCACATGGATAAGGAAAATAAGTACATTCCAGAAAGTAAGAAAACAACAACTCTCTAATGGACCTTATAATTAGGATGAACATATAATTTATCATCTAAGGGCACTTTTTAAAGTGGAAGGCCGCTGTTCATAATTATTCTAGGACAGCAGGTGTAAACCCAGCAATGTCTTAAGCAAGCCAGAATGAATAGTTATTCCCTAGAATATATTAAACCCAAGGCTAAATCAAAGATTTTTAAATACTTTATGCAGTAAAGAATGCAGGAAGCAAATGCTCTTAGATACATAAATGATGAGTTAACTGGTTCCTGTTTTCCTTACATAGCCAAGTGTAAGTTCAGATGTTAGCCATAACTGAAAACAAATTTTGCAGCAGAATTTGGCAAGTTGCTGCTTTGTTTTTCCCCAAACTGTGACCTTTAATTAACATTGCTTTTGTAACATTGTGTTTCTAGATAAAGGAGCTTGCCTTGTTATTTAAAACAAGCAGTGAAACAGAAACCTATTATGTTTTTAGATTGCCAAGAAACACTGAGAACAAAACTTTTTAATCAAATGCACTAGCAATTTATTGCACTGTACTTCTTGCCTTTATACCTTTGGCAGTTTCTCTGTAACAATAAGAGGGGTACTTGGGAGCTAAAAAATTCCTCTTGTTGAAAGAAAGCGCAAGAGGAAGAATGGAGAGATCAGGTATTTTCAGACACCTTTCTGGCTGAACTTTTTCATTCTTCAGGCTGACTTTCAGGGGGAAGAACAAGTAGGAGAAATTCCAAAGTGAGTCTCCATGGGGATTTTCAGCACTAGGTTTTCTCCTCAGACACTGCAACTGACCTCTCTTCTTTGTATTTATTCCCTCAACTGAGCGTTCTCTTTTCATTGTTTCCTGACCCTCAATTTTGAAAGGATTGACCCAGACCCAGAAAAATTTAAGAAGTTTTAACTTGTGCCAACTTCCCGTGTATTAAACTTCCCTAAGGACATGTGACATTACTTAATGCACTCAGCATCCCTTTCCAGTTAAAGAAATGTTCACTTACTTGGTTGGAGTACTTTTGCTGTGAGGTTTGCAGAAAACAAATCCCAAGTCATAAATGTCCTTCCTTTCCCTTAGTGCCAAGTTGAAACCATCAACAAAGAAACAGGATTTTGCTACACGAATCCTATAGATACCTTCCCAGCAAAGTCACAACATTTTACCCTCCAGAGCTTCGGTGTCTGGTTGTGCGCAACTCCACTCTCTGGAGAGAGCAGAGTCGTGGTTCCTTAAGTGATTCAGAAATCAGGTTATGAGACTCACAAATTTCTCTTGTCCCTTGGGAAAATCTGTTTGCTCCAAATGAGCATTGCCTTTATATTACCAACACTTAAAAGATTCCTCAAACACTGAAAATAAATTGTGAATTTTTTAAGAGTGTTTCAGTAAACAATGAGATAAGAAATTCAGTGCAATCCACATTCAATTGGAATGAACAGTGACTGCACTGCAGTAAAACTTGGTATAGTGCTTCATAATAGAGACTCAACTGCATTTCAGAGAAAGCACTTTATTTTCTAAATAATCCCTTTTCCTTTGCTATTTGTATGTAAAAGTAGGCGATAAAGTAGATTAATGGACTTTCTGCACAGCATTTTGGTTGAGATGACTAGTGTAGACAAACCTACAGAGGAGCTCTCATTATGCCCATAACCACTTTTCTAAAAAGACTCGCATGGTCCTCTCCTAAATTCCACACTCTGCTTGCAGCTCACATTATATTGCAATTTCCTCTTTGAGTTCTTAGATTTGTCATATTAAATTGCTCTACTATCATTTGAAGTAAGAGTTATGGCCAAGACGTGATCAGCTGACTCAAAAAAAAAAAAAAAATATCTGGGCAGACAGTCAGTTCTAAAGATTCATGTGCGTATAGAGCTGCTGGAATATAACCTGGCTCTTCTGTTTTTATTGCTTATTTCTTTCTTGTCTGTGTCAGAGCACAGAGAATTACTGTAGAGATTAAAACATTGTCAGTTTCTAATCCCAATCTTCTTATACACAAACACATAAAGTTACCTTATATTTCTATTTCATGTTCCTGGCCTTTCTTTCCTCTCTTGCTTCTAAATTTTTACATTTCAAAGACATGAATAAACATATGTTGCTGTGTGGTAGTGTGCTGGAATGCTTCATAAATTGTGGATGTTCAAAGCTAAAATATCTAGCAAATAAGTAAAATATTTAGTCAATTAAATTCAACAGGCATTTATGGAGCACAATGAGAATGTTAGATTTTAGATGGCTAAAGTGAGAATACAAAGGTGATTTAGGCAAATTAACTACAGTGAACTCGGAATTCCTATGTAAAGGAGCATGGAGAATTCTGTAGAAGATTGGGCAAAGCTTTGGTTCATTTTTGTTGTTTTTGTTTTGAGGTGAGATCTCGCTCTGTTGTCCAAGCTGTAGTGCAGTTGCAGTGGTGTGGTCTTGGCTCACTACAGCCTTAATCTCCCAGTCTCAAGTGATCCTCCCACCTCAGTTTCCCGGGTAGTTGGGACTACAAGCAGACATGCACCACCACACCAGGCTAAGTTTTGTATTGTTTGTGAAGACAGGGTTCTGCCATGTTGCCCAAGCTAGTCTCAAACTCTTGGGCTCAAGAGACCTGTCTGCTTTGGTCTTCCAAAGTGCTGAGATTACAGGCATGTGCCACCACACTGAGTCATCTTTGGTTAATTTTGACTAGAAATACCAAGGAAGACTTCATTGGAAGAGGTGTCATTGAAAATTGGCTTTGAGGCCGGGCGCGGTAGCTCATGCCTGTAATCCCACCACTTTGGGAGGCCGAGGCAGGTGGGTCACGAGGTCAAGAGATCAAGACCATCCTGGCCAACATGGTGAAACCCCGTTTCTACTAAAAAATACAAAAATTAGCTGGGCGTGGTGGCGCGCGCCTCTAGTCCAGCTACACGGTAGGTTGAGGCAGAAGAATTGCTTGAACCCGGGAGGCGGAAGTTGCAGTGAGCCGAGATCGCGCAACTGCACTCCAACCTGGCGACAGAGCGAGACTCCATCTCAAAAAAAAAAAAAAAAAAAAGAAAAGAAAAGAAAAGAAAATTAGCTTTGAAGTGGGACAGAGGTCTTGACATAAAGAATGGATTACACTTCTATATATTTGCCTCTGTTGATACCAGACTTCCAAAATCTTGAAATTTCAACTCACTACATTTTTTAAATTTAAATCCTTTTATATTATATACAGACAACCATAGTACCCAGAAAGTTGTAAGATGATACACAATGAATGTGCATGTGCACACACACAAATATTTAAATGGTAATTCTTACTATTTAAGGAAGATAAGATTAATGGCTCTCATTCTTTACTCCCATTATGGATTTGGATCAGTTTTCTTTGTGCTGCTGTATTTCATTAATTTTTAACATTCCGGTGTGAATGCTATTGTGATACTGTTAGTAATTCCCAAACTCCTACTATGGGAGTAAAAAAACTCTCCTATTATGGGAGTAAAAAAATAAGATAGTCACTCAGTTGTATTACTGCAAAAAATTCCTCAGTATTTAAATTACTTCTGAAAGGAGATTTGGTCAAGATAAGCTGTCAGTCTTTGGAATTTCATTAGTTGTAAAATGAAACAAAAACAAAACATAGACCTTATTACCAAAACTTTGCTGTTAAAATGTGTGAGTCCCACTAAATGTAGTTTACTGGGCTAAATACTCTAGTCACATACATAGGTGATCCACATAAATAAGCAGAAGGACAAAAAAAACAAAAAACAAAAAACCCTCTCTGCCACGATTATCTAATGGCCCAATCTGCAGTTTGCTGGGATGGTTGATTGGTGCTTGTGTACCAATGGTGAAGATCTTCAAAGTGATCCATACTTAGGGCAGGTTCGGTCCACACGGCAGCTCAAGATCATTAGAGTTCCTCTGCTTTGCAGTCAACCATTGCAGTCATATTAAGGACCAAATCAAAGCAACTCTGCTGCAATTTCATCAGATATTCAGCAATCTACCTGGAAATAGTATACGCTGTCATCTGTATAGACCTATTTAAAGAATGACTCCAAACTAGAAGGACTTTTATTGAGGAGCCCAATTTGAAGAAAGTTATACAAGGTGCTATGGAAATCTGTGCCCCCCCCCACCCCACCTAAAAAAAGTGAAGCGTTTGTAGCATCGTAAGTAGTGATAAAAACAGTTGTTAAAATTTTAATATCATTGTTTACTTTAAAAGACATGGTCTTTCCATAGGCACTTAAGATACTACTGTTGCTGGGTAGAGCATTTCTAACTTTTTAATCGTGCTTTTTTAAAAAAGTCACAAATGATTTTTTATGCTATTTATAGTTTTTATATATTTTAGACAATTCAGAAATATCGATTAATATGACAAGAGTTTATCTGCTGGCATTTTTATACTATAGGTGGAAGTTAAATGGAACAGATGTTGACATTGGTATGGATTTCCGCTACAGTGTTGTTGAAGGCAGCTTGTTGATCAATAACCCCAATAAAACCCAGGATGCTGGAACGTACCAGTGCACAGCAACAAACTCATTTGGAACAATTGTTAGCAGGGAAGCAAAGCTTCAGTTTGCTTGTAAGTAGCAATTATATAATGCTGCATATGTTACTTTGGGTTTGTGTACTATTATACCAAAAAGCTTTTATAGCAGTTTCATTTTAGAAACTAGATTTAAATTTGTTAGATGATCTTTACTCTTTTTCACATTTTAGAAATAATTTTATTTGTAGGATAAACTGTAAACCTAAGTCAGAATAGGTATTCTTCTACTTTCATAAGGATTGAGATACTTTGATTATATGGCAATTTGACTATATGATGCTTGTTTTATGTACAAATAAATTCACACACTGAGACTGACACATGTATAAATTTATGTAAACAACAGATTTACACACACACACATTTTAAATAGCAATTGAATTGCCAGTAATTTAGTAGTCAATAAGAGAAGTACTTTAACCATAAAGGTCAGTGTTGGAAAAAAAAAAAAAAAACCTCAATTAATCCTATAATTCTCTAACTGTTTCTTATTTCACAGAGTAGAAAAATTATAAACCAACTGCAATAATGGCAAAAAATGGGGACAAATTGTTACCCACCTTTGCTATTTCTGGTTCAGAATATTTAAAAAATAAACATCTCTTAAGACTACCATTTCACAAAAGTCCATGAATATATGAAAGTGAAACTTAGAAACCACAATTTGAAAATAAAATCCATAGAAAAGAGCAGTTAGCATACATTTGAGTATAGTCACCTTTGAGGGTTGATGTTCAGCTACATTTTTAAGGGTTTATGTATTTGCATATGATTTTATATTTCCTTGTATGAAATCTCAACTCATATAGCAGTGCATTTTGGCATTAGTCAAAGGTTTCATAATTATGAAGTCTGCTGGCAGTAACACTGTAGAATATTCTCATTAGCAAAATCCTCTCCAGGAACTCAATATCAAATATATCCAATATCCAGTCCTTAATTTATTATTGCCATTTGGTGGCATTTTTATTATTTGAGAAATGAATTTTGTAAGTATTATGTATGTGCAGGATTCCAGGATTATTTTGTTTGTGAATGTCTCTTGAGATAGTCTTTTAAATATTCTTAGGTGTGCAGAATAATAAGAGAATAATATATGTGAGTGAATGTAAATCAAAGCATTTATTTCTTTTGGTTTAATTCAAGTCTTATATCTATATTTTTTAGTAATAACAAATCTTGCTGGATTAACTTTTGGAAATAACCATAGAATCATGTACTCTCAGAGTAAGGGAAAATCTCAGTGTTTAATAAATCTTGTAATTCTTTGAATTTTGGATGTCATAGTGTAGAAAATTTTCAACACATTAACACCAAAAAAAAAAAAAAAAAATGGAGATGGAAATACTATACCCAAACTTTTATTCCTAGCTTATATTTAAAAAAAAACAAATTATCAGCTCTTAAGATTATCCTTTTGTAAAAGACCTGGCATTTTGCTACCAAAATATCAGAAAGATAGAATCTCATATTCCAGGACAGTCATTTAAGTAGAAAAGTTTAGCCAAAAAAAAAGCTCTACCACTCAGTTTGTGGTGGGTTGACCTGTGGACCCACCAGGAAGTGGAATCCACTTTGCATATGTATCGTGTATGATGTAGGCATTCCTGCCACCCTCAAAATCCTTGGCTGATCCTCATAGGGTTTGAAACATGCTAGTGACAGAAAGTTCCCCAATTCATCACAAAGCACCTTGACCCACAGTAGACTACTCCAGTTGTTCAAAAATACAAAAACAAACTTGACATCTCTTTCTTAAAATTGAGCCAAACATCTAAATTTCTCTCACATACACTCCCAATTCTTACTGTAAGATACTGATTACCTTCAAATATGTAAAGATATCATCATGTCCCTTGTCCTGTAATTATTTTCTTCCCCATTTACTTAATCCACAGTCATCTTCTTCACAACACACTCAGTTATGTTAACTCATCTATTAAATTTTAGCCTATGGAAATGCACAGAATTCCACATATGTGTCTTAATTTTTGCAGGGAACACTGGAAACAGTAGTATCTCATGATGTGAACATTTTTCAGTTAATGCAGCTGACAATAATATTTATTTAATAGTCGTTTTTAAGTATAAGACCCAGATTGCAACTTTCTTTTAAACATATAGTCATGTAAAATCTGAGAAAGGATTTCTTATAAATATCTGTTCATCCAGAGCCACCCAACCATATTGTTTTATTAACCTAAATTCAGAATATTATGTTTATCCCTAATAAATTCATATTCTGAGTAGTGACCCTTTGTTCCATCATATTTGACATTGTTTTAAGTCTTTTTTTCAATCTGACATATTGATTGTTCTCCTAGTTTAGTGTCAGCAGAAAATTTGATAAGTGTGTTTCCATTCAAATAATTGATACAACATGTTGACCAGGACAGGGCAGCATGTCACTAGAGAACTTCCACTAAAATGAGTTTAAACCTTTAATTTAATATTATTTGGATACTCTTGTTCAACCAGCTACAATTTAGCCTAATGTACTATAACTGAACTCCAATTTCACCCACGTGTTTTTAAAGTAGTGAGAACTTTGCTAATGCCTTGCTAAAATCAGGATGTATTGTTTCTACAACATCCACTCCTACCTGGTCTCTCTGCATCTTCTCGAGCCTTTCCTTAACCATTCATCATAAAACTGCCAGAGTAATCTTTTAAAAAATGTAAATTAGATCATTCTGCTTTCCTGCTTTATGCCTTCTACTGCACCTAGAATAAATCTCAAATTCATTACCATGGTCTCATTTTAATTTCTCAAAAATGACAAACTATTTTTTGCAGCAGGATCTTGATACTTTTGTTCCCTCTGCCTGATAAGCTTTTCTCATGATCTTTCATGCAGCTGACTTCTTATGATCCTCAGTTCTTAATTTAGGTATGACCTCCTAAGAGCACGTTTCCATATCGCCCTGTCTAACATAACAAGCAATTTCCATCATTTCTCCTCTCTGCTGACCTTCCCTCAGCCCTTTGCTTTTTACATAACAGTATACCAGAATTTTTTTTTGAGACAGTCTTGCCCTGTCACCCAGGGTGGAGTGCAGTGGCACAATCTCAGCTTACTGCAACCTCTGCCTCCCATGTTCAAGCTATTCTGCCTCAGCCTCCAAAGTAACTGGGATTATAGGCACACAATACCATGCCCAGCTAATTTTTTTGTATTTTTCATAGAGTCGGATTTCACCATGTTGGCCAGACTGGTTTCAAACTCCTGACTTCATGTGATCCACCCACCTCAGCCTCCCAACGTGGTGGGATTACAGGTGTGAGCCACTGTGCCTGGCTCACTTTATTGAATTTAATACAAACTAGAAAGATTGTATATTTACTTTTTTCTCATTTATTATTTTACTCCTATAACAGAATGTATATTTTAAGAGAACTAAGACTATCTTGTCCATCCTAATACTTCCTAGCCATTTATATGTTTGAATAAAGGAATTCCTGTATTACGTACTCATTCAGTAACACAACAAAGAAAATATATGTATAAAGTTAATTTCAGGATTTTTTTTTTTGATGGTGTCTTGCACTGTTGCCCCAGCTGGAGAGCAGTGGCACGATCTCAGCTCACTGCAACTTCCACCTGCCAGGTTCAAGCGGTTCTCCTGTCTCAGCCTTCTAAGTAGCTGAGATAACAGACGCCCACCAACATGTCCAGCTAATTTTTCCTATTTTTAGTAGAGTCAGGGTTTCACTCTGCTGGCCAGGCTGGTCTCGAACTCCTGACCTTGTGATCCACCCACCTCACCTTTCCAAAGTGCTTACAGGCGTGAACCATAGCGCCCAGCCAAAGATGTGTATTTTTATACACCCAAACCCACCCTTTCTATTTTAGTCATTTTCTGGAGTTTAGCTTTTTGATAATCAATTCATAGTTTCTAGATGTTTTTCCCTATCTTTTTTAAATTAAAAGAAAATCAGAAGACATTGCCTGTGTTAAAAATCATTTTCATTTGGTTAGGATAAAATTTTTTTCTTCAGTGAATTAATGAAAGTGAGGCAAGACAGTGACATCTTTTGAATGTTACTAGTTTCTGTGACTCCACATATTGTCATAATCATTGAAGGAAAAAAAAATGTTGCTTTTTGGCCACACTTACTGTACTACACCATGCAAGTGAGAATATTTCTTCCTTTTTGATCATACAATTTTATGGCTGAAAAAGACATTAAAAGTCTTCTGGTCTGTATCTTTTTAAAAATGAAACTGAAGATTAGAGTAACTGAATTACTCATTTTTAATACACAGTTAATAAGTTACAGAACCAAGGAAAGGCAGTCTTAAGCTCTAAGTTTCATGCATGCTGGCTCTATTCTGCTTTAGATTCACCCTAATTTATAAGAAAAACAACCCTTCACATTTGTTTACCATGTCACAGTTTTCAAATCTCATTCATATACTTTCTATAATTTTATTCAGAAGATGGTCTTCTAAGGTAGACATTATTTCTATTGATTATTAAAAATGTTTTCATGCTGCTTTTGTACACAGAATTTGGTCATGTCTTGTATTAGCATTTAGCATTTTTAAGTTGAATTAACTCACATAAGCAAAATTTATAGCTAACTAGGGACGAGACTACTAAGAACTTACTCTTCCTCCCACTTTCTTCAGTCAATATATTTAGAATAGAAATCCTTCTTTGCTTAAATAAGGATAGCATAATTTAAGTCCCTCTTGATGAGATATGGACATTTTCATAAGCATACATTATTGTAATATAATTGGGAACCCATTTTGTCTTTCAGTCGCTCTCCAGTATTAAGCCACCAGCAATCACTTCTCTCACTGTCACTTAGCCTACTACCATACCCCTTCTACCTTTTTTCCTTCGATTTCAGCTAGGGCTATAAAATTTGGTTGACTAGATCCTTTGTACCTGGCACTTAATAAACTCGAAATAATGGTTGCTGAATGAATAGGAATTAGATGCCATGTGCGGAGCATAAGGAATGAGTTGAACCACTGAGTCAAGCACATTCTGACGGTCCTTTGGAGTGAACTGGAAGTGAGT